CAAACCGGACCTTGATATCTTTATTCGTTCGAGAGATATCGAGGTTCACAGGTTTTGACTTCCACCCCCCTAGCGCCCCCCCCCCATTTTTTGGGGGTCTGAAAATTTGGGGAAAGAAGCGCTCAAGTATGAGTAATCAATAGACAAAGTCTGAAGAACTGGGGGGGGGGGGGCGAAAAAAGCCGTTTTTGCATCAAGCTCTTTGATGAAAAGTATGGTTTATTCGAGATGAAAAAAAGCATCTGCTACGGTTTCATACAAGTGAGACTGTATCTCGACTGGCCTGCATGGACCAGGTTGCCAACTCGTCCACTACATCACATTGGGAGTATTGTAATGGGGTCTCCTCATTTCTATTTGTAGTTCCCGCCATTAGGAGGGATGAGCGGATTCGTCAGCAGCTCTAGACTGGTGACCAATCGGGAGACAGTGATGCTCTCCTCTGATAGGTCATTGCTTCAAGCGGCCATTATTATGTTCTACGCGTGCTGTGTGTGAGTATATCGTGCTCGTGATTCGTCAAGAATTTTGTAACCTAAACCGAGAATGTGAGTAGGTAGTTGCAGGGGGTGGTCCATTGACCACCCTCATAAATTTTCCTTTTTGTTCGGAGCCGGTTGGTCGGTGGGGGAAAGTTTTCATTTGCAGATTCTCTGTTGGTACTGTCCCTATTTCATATAAAACGAAAGGCTCATCTCAGTATCATTCATGAATAACCTGTTAAAATTATATAAGCACTCACCAGTGACAAGATCTGATGGATAGCTGGGTACCAATCTTTCTTCAGACGTGTTATCGCTTGAGAAATGCTTTCATTTGCGAATTTGTTAAAATCTGAGAGGTCCAGTGCTGATTTGGACGCGTAAAATGTATTAACTTGAATCAATCTCAAGTCGCTGAGAAGAAAGCAGACCAACAAATTACGTTTCCACATTGAAATGCTAGCTGGTTTATCTTCAAGTTCCAAGGAAAATATCGAAAACCAGTTTCATCAATCTGTACCAGCCTAGCTTTATCAGTATTTGGAGGATCTACCATAACAGCCAAACGAGAGTAATTTTGGGAATGTATTGGAAGTAAATTCCTGAAATCTTAGGAGGCGCAGCATAATTTCTATCCTTCAATGATGTTGACAAAAAATAATCTACTGACGGTGGGCTCTTCGCGAGGTGCTGGTGGATCCCGTTTTAGCATACATCTCCGTTATACATGGTTATACTTAATCCACCAAAAACTCCAAAAAGGGTTAAAAGTCTCGCCAAGCCTATGAGATCTTGTCACAAAGAATGTATCTAAAAATCTATACTATACAGCTACAAGCAAAATCTCGGAAGCACTATTTCTGACGAACTACCGGACCGATAAGGATGATCCTTACATGTATGTCATCTGTAATGTAATAGCTGTATATGTGCAAAAAATTATGAAACCCCGAACTTTTAATGTTGTAAAGCTTTTAAAGCTCATGGGACTTATGTCCAATGTTAATAGCGTAAGAAACATGTCGTTTCCGCTAGAAACGTCTAGGTGTGGGTGGGATTCTACCTAAGCGTATTTTGGTTGATGATCGGTCGAGCAAAAGTGTCGCGGTCGAGCAAACTGGGCGTAGTTGTTGTTGAAAGCAGTCGTCAGAATCTGACCAATCAGAGATGAGTTGCGAAGAGTTTGCCGGATCATGAGAAAATACGAAAAAGCACTAGACTAGATTTATTTTAAAAAAATTTATAATAAATTTACAAATAACATGTACACTGGTAATGAATCGGAATATTTGGCGGTCTTTCTTACATTTAGAGGTTAGGCATTTGGCATTGACGCTTGTTGTAGAGATGGGACCGTGATTGCGATCGCAGTGAAAAATCACTGTGATTCGAGAATCACCAGTCACTGTTACTGTGACTTTCAAATAACACCTGTTATTTGTATTTTTTTTCTTTTTATTCCAAATAAGGAAGCTAGATGATTTTGTGAAATTCTAAACTTTAAACTCCGTGAATTTAATTATCAAGTATCTCCGAGAACCGAGACCTTTTGGTCAGCACTGGTCAGGGAATTTTTTGGGAGAGCAACTCTGCAAAACATTAACTAAACTATGACGTCAGCTGTATGCTCCAATCCCCTGTCGGCCTGTCCAATCCCAAGTCGGTCTCGGTTCGTTAAAATCACCGGTGACTTGAGTTCACTGTGATTCTGTGATTAGAGAAATCCTTTGTTAGAAATGCCGCGAATACTTCTTAAATCTGGTCTGGAATCACCTCCGCTAACCTCTAAAAACAACAAACTTATCACAATCACTATCATCAACCGTGCAGTGATCATTGTGATGTTATCAATGGACAATCAGCAATGAAAAACAAATATGTGCGAACAAATTGAAATATTTATTTCAAGTGATTCATTTCGATGAAACTATCATTTTTTTCCATGAAACAAACAAATCTTGTGATCAGTCACTGTGATCGAAAATCACTTAACCAGGAATCACTATAGCTTGACCTGTAGGTAACCCACATATAATGAGCTATAGAGCAACATCCCAATATTTACCGTCTCTTTCTTCTCATCTGAATTATCACACACATTTCCGTTTTGCGGTCATATTCAGTGATTTTTACGAGAGCATCCCCCACGCCCCAGGGCATCATGATTGCCAATGTAGGTTGTTATGAACATGTTGTGAATCAGATCACTATCATCACTAATCAATCACTGTGATACCAAGGTACACTCTACTACAGGTATGGACAGAATGGAATTTTAGAAAGTCGTCAAAACGCGTAGATTTGACAGCATCGAGAGTACGACAGCGAAGACCTGTGCGGCAAATGGACGGTACGACTTCATACGTCACTCGATCGCCGATTTTCTCAGCGCTGCCACTTCGGCACCCCTTTTGTCCATACCTGTAGTAGAGTGTACCTTGCTGTGATACTAAGATTTCCTTCAGGAAATTATGCATGCCTTCAATGGGGAGGTGTGATTGGAGCAAGTAAATCTGACGTCATCTTAACCCCCCCCCCCCCCCCCNGGGTCGACTGTGATTTATCACAGTGATAAATCACTGTGATTTTGAAGTAACAGTCACAGTCACTGTCGCTATTTAGAAATCACTACTCGGCACATCTCTAGCTTGTTGTATGCCATCGTTCACATCGGGGTTACTCCGAATCCTATTTTTTGTAGGGTTCACTTTTGGCTCCAACGTTTGCAAGAATTCCACCGTCCATCTGTCTGGTGAGTCCCGAAAAAGTTTGATCGCGTCAAAGCAAAATACAAAATAGCATGATCCACCCATTTTGGTTCGACCGATTATCAACCAAAATACGCTTCCTGAGTGACTCGAATAAACAATAGAACAATGCTATAACTCTCGTGAAGGGCTAATGGGGATATCGCAACCTGAGCCGCCGCGCGCCGAGCCTAAGGTTTTTACTCCATTTTTCCGCATTCTTCCGGCTTCGATTGTGGCATTGGTCAATACTTGATTGCCGAATTTCTATTAACAGCAGATGAGCAGCAGATACAAAGTGAGAAGGCAGGCGCTGCGTCGCGTAGGGGCGGACCAAATAATAACTCTCAACGGTCGTAATCCGATTTTATTTTTTTTAATTAAGCATTTAAAAATAACTGTTGAAGTAGGTAACTCAATAAATACCGGGTTCGGCCGATATTTACATTCTTCTGTCGCGAAACAGGGCACTATGGTCCGTTTCACCCGAAAAGTATTTTTCGCGTGAAACGGTATACACCAATTTTTCGAGTGTTCAATGAGAAATTCGTCAAATAGCTTCCCTTAGAGATGAATAATCAAAGAATCATCGAATAATTGTCCAACAGCGATGGGAGTAACTTGGGTACCTCTCACATTATACGAATAATAATACGTAGAAGCGGAACTATGCGACCGTGCAAGGCCCTATCACGGCGGCTCAGCGGTTCCACAGGATGAAATGTGTTCGTTATGACTTCTTCTCCTAAAAAAGAGCTTTCATTTGATATATGAGGACTTATCTGTAACAATAGCGGATGTCGAGTTCTCACATTGTGAGAAAATCGCGTTTGAAGTTTCTGAAGCTTTGCACTTTTCCGCCCGTAGAACCGAGAGGATTCTTATAAAGATTTTAATGAATAGCAACTCTTCCGGTAAAAAAACACACGTTTTACGATATCTTTAAGTGAAGGAGTAACAGCGATTTGAAAAAAATGTGACATCCGCTATTTTTACTGCAAACACTTTTTTATGCATAAAACAAAGTTTTCAGGAAGGGTAAGGCTGGTGAAACGATTGAAATGAACCAAAAGTTAGTCAATGCTGAGTCATTTAACAAAATTGAACAAGAAACTAAACCGTTTGTAACTTTTACAACAAAAACAAGGAACAAATTCTAAAATCAGTTAAAAATTCAAAAATTCTGGCGAGCCGGTCCCGATACGTATAATTTGAGTGTCACCTACAGCTCATGGCCGTTGGGCGGGCAATTATTGCAAGTGGGTTCGAATCTCCACAGTGTCCTGCCGCGCCGTCCGGGGAAAACAGTGGATTCTCACATCCGCTGTTTTTACAAATAACATGTTTTTCAGTTCATATCTCGCCGAAAAATTGTGCTGGAAGTCTGAAACTTTGCACAGGCATTCTTGGACGCTCTAGATTTTGAAAAAAGCGTTTGCCCTAAAAATGGCGGATGTCAGCGACCGCCATTGTTACATATATGTCCTCATATACACTTTTTTTCATTGAGCACTTTTCATCGCGTCCAAAAAGGACGTCTACATGATGGATGAATTCCTAATAAAAGAACGCAGAGGTAGGTATCCCGAGCTCGGTAAGGACCCTAATAAGGCAAATCTGTACGCTGCATTTTTTCTGAGTACTAACCGAACAATTTGATTAAGTATGACAAATATATCTAATTGCTTTTCCTCTTTCAGGAATAATTAACATTATCTGAAAAAAGAGTCAATGGAGGAAAAATCAATTTGACATACTCGTACTACATTACCTGAACTGCTTGTGCCACAATTGGTGCAGATATACCATGACAGGATTAGAGATGAAAAGATTTTTACTGATGACTTGCTTGGCTTGATCGAATTCGATTCTCGCCGATTTGTTAAAACTTTCCAACTGCTTTCCATCATTTTTTGAAATTGAGTCTTGCATCATAAATTTAAAATCATCCAAGACAAAGTCTACAATCCCTTTCTTGATGGCCACTTGGAAGTCTTCCTGGGTAAAAAATAACAAAGGAATAGAGAGATAGGCGCAGCGGGAAATAATGTAAAAAATGAAAAGGCGATGGATATGTTGCATGTGTGAGGAATTTGCGATTTGACAACCCATTGATTCTTATGTAAAAGTTCGCGAGAAACACGATAGTGCCACTGGTTTTCCGTGAAATCAACTGCCAAGCTCAAAAAAAGCTCTCAAAGGTAAGGGCGTAATGGAGGGGATATCCCACGCTATCCTGAGAGTCCACCTCTACATCATCCTGAGAGTCCACCTCTACATCAAGACAAACTGCCCATGCAAATATAGGGAGCATGAATGGGCTGCCACTTTATTCGGGGACTCTAAAACTGAAAACACGGCAACCCTGCTGATGTATTTGCTCCCTATCTTTGCATGGAGAGCTTGTCTTGATGTAGACGTGGGTGGACTCTCAGGATAGCGTTGGATATCCCTTCCATTACAGCCTCAACTTGAGAGCGTTTTTTGAGCTTGGGAGTTGATTTCAGAGCGAATCAGTGGAACCATCGTGTTTCTCGCGAACTTTTACATAAGAATCAATAGTCGCAAATCCCACACACATGCAACATCTCCATTCAATCCTCCGGAGATCGTATTTTTGAATCGCTTTTAGCAAAATAGGATCGAATGCAATGAAAGCCTATTGTAAAGATTGTGCATCTTCATCGTCATGTAAAAAAATGTAAAAAATATCAAACGATTCAGGGTTTCCTGCCTAAAAATTGTAATAAGTTTAAAAGAGAAGGATCGTGTAAATTTCATTCTTGTAAGTGTGATTATTTAGCATTTCCTGAAACAAAGCAGAAAGTTTGATGTTTTTGAAAACACTAAGGTTTTGCGTTGGTTCCCTGCTGCTACCTATGATCAAATCAGAGTGGTAATCAGAGCTGTCCTGAGAAATATATAGAGATTAGGCTAATCCTTACATTGGCGTCTCTCCCCCGCGGGTGAGTTTTAGGACGGATTTCTTACATGGCCGGCGGGGCCCCGAAAAACGTTTCAAATAGAAGCTTTTGGACCGCCCGTTTGCGTCCAGTCTGAGAAGAAAAAAATTCATTTTCTGCCCGGGTCTGTCGATGAACATTATTGAATCTCTCAGTCTGAATACGACCCAACTCAGGTTTTTGACGATTTCATTTTTTTGCGTAGAAATACTCCTTTTCTGGCAGTTACGCAGTTTTCATCGTCTCTAGAAAAAGGTCATTTTTCTGATACGGGTCGTTTTTGAACTTAGAGATTCAATTATGATTTTATCGAATATTTAGTCATAGAAGACTGGAGTCGTGTATGATTTATTGAATGAGTTTTTACTCATGCCCCGAACTTACAATGCCTCTACAAATCGAAGTATCTACGAGGTATATCAAATGTGCGCTCCCCTGATTCACGTTTCCATTTAAGTGGCCTGGAGGAAAAGGCACGTAAGTGCAGGTTCTGCTATTTCGAGAAATGCCTACAAGTTTCAAGTTTTGAAATAATATTGATCATTATTGTGGAAAGAAAGTTCTAACAGACTTTTTGATGCTTACTTGGAATCGATAATACCTCAATTTTAAAAAAAAACTGCACTTGTGCGCCTTGTCCTCCAATCCCCTCATTTAGGCATGATGGCAACTAAAAGATGAAGCTGTTCGATAGTACGGTGATACGGGATGCTCCGAAAGTCCAGCGCCTCCCCCTATCCCCACCCCTTTAACTTTTGAACCGTTCGAGATAAACAATTGAAACTTTGGGAATGTTTCTATCTCAAAGGAGACAATCTTCTGAGGGGGTCTGCATTTTGGTATCTGCCTCGGGGGGGGGGGGGGGGGCATTTTTTTTTCATATAATAACCCATACGTTGTGGTGCCTAATTGGAGAGAACATTCAAAACTAAGAATTTTGGCTGAAACCGCTCATCAATATCATAATTATTGACAAAGTCATTGTAGGTGAAAGGTCAAGTGACGACGATAAGTTGTACCGGAGTCAAGATTTCTTGAAAAAAAGTCTAATTTGACCTTTGACCTATCATGTCTCGATCAATAATTAAGATATTGATCAGCGGTTTCAGCCAAAATTCTAAGTTTTGAATGTTCTTTTCAATTAGGGGTTACTATTTGAAAAAAAGTTGAGGGCTCCACCCCCCTTGTAACGGGGCGGATCTCCCCCTTCTCTGCTGAGGGCAGGTCCGGGTCTTCTAAGGCACTTTCAACGTCCTTGGGAAGAGACCCGCCAATGTCACTTCGGATGCCCTGGTAAAAACGACGGACACCCCATGGATGGACATTCTTAGGTTCACGGACACCTAGTTGGCCGTATGGACACCCGGTATAGCCGTGCGAGCACCTGTGATGGGCGTGCGGAAACCTTATCAACAGTGAAATTGCAGCCACACAAATACCTTTCCTGCTATTTTGCTTTTTAGAGATTAAGAGATAACCAAGACATTATTCCTTAAAATTTTTGAGGAATTTCTGCAGACTGAAAATAAAATCGAGGAAGTTGGAAGGAATCTCCTAGTCTTCCACAGAAATTCAAGTGAGTTGGGAATTTTGTTTTTTGGTTTCGTTATGATGCTTTCTGTTCTCAAATTTAAATTAATATTTCTGTACACTATTTGCAGAAAAGTTCTTACAGTTTGTTTATTCTATTTATTCATGTTTAGGTACTCTAATATATTTCATTTGTTTATTTTAAAATAATTTATTTATTTTAATACACTTAAAAATAATTTACTTTTTAATATATTTTAATATAATTTTTTTACTTTTTTTTTATCAGTTAATAATTTACAAAAAAAAATAAAATCGTGTTGAAACTCAAAAGGTGTGACTTTACAGCCATAAGATAGTCTATAGCCTAATAAATCTCATATACTATTCCAAAATGTAAATGAGTAAAATGAAATAGATTAAATTAAATTAATGAAATGAAATAAAATAAATAAATATGAAGAAATAAATAAAATAAAGTAAGTAGGTGAAATGTTAGGAAACCGTTGGAGGGGAATAGTTGCACTGTTGCTAAGACTATGCCTAAAAGTCATACAATTGTGTTTCACTTACCCATTTTTTTCGAGATCACGTTTCTAGACCCTTCTTGAATCTGAATTCACAACCAAAGATGGAAAGTGAAATTTCATAAGGCTCGAATAAATTTCACAAAAGTTGAAATTTATTAATTTTTTTTTTTAGAATTATTGATTGAATCTTTGAATGTCTGAAAGCGTTTCAGATGTTCTTTGTGTGGATGCTGCGGTGTTAAGCTACTCTACAAAAGGTGCCAGACACTAAGAGGGGGCAAAAAGGGGAGTTAAGAGAGAAAAACCCCAACCTAACCTCTAAACTAAACGAAAACATTTGCAACGCGCGAATTTTATAGGCTTGGGGTATAAAAAAACTTCAAAATTTAGGATCACTGTTTCTAGGCGTTTCTTAGCCTCCTGAATGTATCCCCAGAAGCTTCAATATATTTCATGAAATTTCACGCGTGAAATTTCATTCGAATAAATTTCATAAAATTTTCCATCTCTGTTCACAACCATCACAAGATTCACAACATAAAATTGTCTCCTATCAACAGATCGCAACTTTCGTCAAGCCCGAATTTTGAAAGTCTTGGCAACAACACCATTAAGTATTCCCCTCCAACGGATTCCTAACGAAGAAAAGGAAGAAGTAAAAAGGTTGTACGTCGCGTAGAATTTCGATATATCGAAGTTCTGCGCGCGACGCAGCATTTGAGGTTATTCCCGTTATTTCCTGTGCGCTACGCGTAATCGTTAAAGAATCGAAATTTCTCGCAGCGCACGACATTTTCCGTGAATCACTCAGATTTTCCTGAGCGGCGGACATTTACTGTGTCGCGCGCGTATTTTTCTGTGTTGCGCGCGCGTTTTAGGTTTGGTCCGCAACGGCGCACTATGGTCCGATAGCCCGATTTAAGCGGCATTAAATGAGATATGCATGTTTTTACCTTGCAACATGAGTTTTAGGGGTTTTTTGGGTCGCTGAGTGCAAATATGCTAATATTTTTCAAAAAAAATCCATTTTTAACATTTTTATACTTTCTTATAACTTTAGTAATACTTTGTTGAGATACCTCAAATTGAAGCGCCATCGACAAGTCCAACCGGTGGTGTAGTGGCTACCGCATCTCAACTGTAACCGTATGATCCCAGGTTCGAACCCCGGAAGAATTTTTTTTTTTTTTTACGCCTAAAAATTAAATTTTGCATTAGATGGACTATAAAAAGCTAAATGTAGTAGAACTTTGCAATATACTACTGTCAAAAGAACTTGAGACCGCTAAGGATAATACTTCAACGTTTCATGGCTCCGGAGGCCTACTTTCAAGTCCCACCGATCGGCCGTATGAACTCGTTTTATTCTGCCAAGCTAAACTTAAGCTTAAATATATCTATTTTGATAGATTATGCGTTTGAAACATGGTAAAATGTAAAAAATAAACTTTTACGGGACCTCAAAGTGGCCTCCCGAGACGATTTTATCGCTCGGGTGCCCTACTTTCAAGTTCCACCGATCAGATGTTTGAACTTATTTTCGTCTGCCAAGCTAAACTTGAGCTTAAATATATCCATTCTGATAGATTATGTGTTTGAAATATGGCAAAACTTCAAAAAGTAAACTTAAACGGAACCTCAAAGTAGCCTCCCGAATTGATTCTTCGCTGTTCTTAAGCACAAGTTTCAATTCCTCCTGATCAGCCCCATCAAATCGTATTATTCTGCCTCGGCAGATTTAGGCTTTAATGCATCCAATTTGATAGAATATGACAATGGAACATGATAAAATGCATGGTGAATGGCATATGATAGCTAATTCTAGTAAGTGCTAAGAAATGCGAAAACGTCATTTTTGATGAGAAATAACTTGACCCTACGGTGGCTTACGGATCTGGCATTCAGACTAGAAGGAAGTCAAGAGTCATGACAACAACTTCCAAGTAAAATTACGAGGTGCCAAGAGGTGCAAAGTATATTTTGTAGGTCCTACTTTTGCAATTTTATTAAAAAAAGTGACTATGTCTAAGGGCTAGTCTAGAGCAATAGATATGAGGAAAAAGAATCATTTTGGCATGTAACATCTTCAACATATTCTATATTTTGTGAATCAGGTGCCCAAACATTTTCAGGTACAGCGAAACAACGTAAACAAACCCTTAAACACGGCACTGCCGCTCGGTAACTGGGAGCGTGCTCCAAAGTGCTCCGCGCGCCGCACTTCCCGTGCTTGTCACATCTTTATTAGTGCTTCAATCGAAGTGATATTTTACAGGTGTCCTCTCTACAGCATGTACTATCGATCCACGCCTTTAAACCGGACTTTTTCCAAACTTCATTTTTTCGATTTATTGCCGCTTAAATCGGGCTTTCGGACCATAGTGCGGCGTTCCACACTACCTCTTGCTTATTTAGTAAAAATGGGACATGAGGACATCACTAGATGTCATAATGACATCCACACTTTGTTCCGTAATAAGGCAGTGTGATGTCACAGTGATGTCTGTTGAACATTCTGCCATCACAGTGTCATCATAGTGATTGGTGAATGGTAAGAATGATGTCAGGGTGATGTCAGAGAGGTCAGATTGATATCAGAGTGAAATTATTGAGATTTGTTCCATAAAGCATTGTGATGTGTCAATGACGAGGTACTCCACTTTTACCAGAGTACCTTAAGACTGAATTTAAAAGCTGTAAGTTTTAGTTTGTGAAAGTGCCTCTTACCTTGACTTCAAGAAAAATTGCATTGACCTCTTTGACGTGCTTTTTCTTTAAAGATATTGGTACTAGGTCTAAAATATGCGAGATCCAATGCTGTTCAATAGGTGCAACGTGAACAGTGTCAATGCCATGTTGAATATAATAATTATAGCGAACGAGTTGAATTTCATCAGACGAGGGGATGATTGTTTCATCATTATATTCGGTATCTCTGCTCACTATTACTTTAATGATCTGCTTCCGAAATTTCTCCCTTTCCTCCTTCAACTCAATGTATGAAATGACCTTCAAAAAACGGGGGAAAAACTGATGAAAGAAATGTAGGTAGGTATTCATAAAATGTCACATCAAAGTGCGCGGCTAAACAGCCGAATGTGTCAATTGCACTGGTTTCAGAATCGCGTTTTGATGCTTGATTCTTATCGATCAGCTGAAAAGGTTAAGATGCATCCAAACAACAACTTCCTCCGTTCAATGGACCGTTTTACTCCTTGTCTCCACGGAACGTTTCACGGGATTTAACCGAGATAGCAGAAATATACAGCCTTTTTATCAAATAATCTCGAACCGCTGCAGGATCTGCCACGGTCGACGACGAGGAAAACAGAATTTCGATAATGGCACCAATTACTGACGTTGCAGATTGCAACCTATAGGTTGCAATCTGCAACGCCCCCCCCCCCCCCCAAAGCTGGAGAAAATCGCACCTTAAATGATGGTGCTGAAACACATGCCTGGCTATAAGTGCCTGCCTCTTGTTTACGTTAGGAGATTGCGATTTAAGAAGGTACTGTTTCCTTGGTAAAACTTCGCTTGAAACACGATAGTTTCACTGGTTTTCTCTGAAACAAACCCAAAAATTGAAACAAAACTCGAAAAAAATGGCAATGTCACCAAATCGAACAAATAAATTAAATTTTTAATTTAGGTGAAGCTGTAAAACGCTTCGATAGGTCAAAGATCGGATGTTGGGTTACTCGACATCCTCACACTTGGGTTAGGTCACTCGATACCACCAAACTTAGGTTAGGTTGCTCGACAACACCGCGGGTCGGTCGGGTCGAAGATCGCACTGAGGTCAAAATCGATAGGTGGAAGATCGATACTTAGGTCAAAATCGACAGGTCGAAGATCGATGGTTAGATCACTCAACACCACCACACCTAGGTTAGGGCACTCGACTCCCTTGTAAATCGTTCGACATAGGTAAGTTCACTCGGCACCACCGCACTTGGGTTAGGTCACCCCATTTACCAGATTTGGGTTAAGTTAGGTTACATTTTGATAGCTCAAAGATCAAAATCAATAAATCGAACATTCAAAAGCGATACATCGATTGCACTTAAACCGCCATTTCTACCCATCTCTTTTATCGTACAGCGAATATAAGGCAGTAATGTTTTTCTTGATATTCCCTATTAATCAATACATATGAACAGAAAAAAAAGAGAAAAAAAACACTAAGAAGCGGCCCGAACTGTATGTATAACAAGGTGGAGAAATGGTGCTGGGTCCACACCATTTCGCGAGGAACACAAAGCCAAGGAGTTCCAAAAATTAAAATTAGAGTCAAGATTAAATTTTTGAACTCTAATGCGCACCAGTATGAAACTGTGGGGGGAGGGTGTTAAGCTCAGGTAGTTTGCATTGGAATATTAGGTTGGAGTCACGTCGGGAGATCTATACCGGGTTGAGCCTTTTTAAACCTCATCAGCAGATCACACTCCAACTTAATATTCCAATGCTAACCGCCTGAGCTGAACACTCTCCCCCCTCAGTTTCGCACTGGTAAGTACGCATTAGAGTTCATAAAATTTAATTTGGACTCTAATTATAATTTTTGGAACTTCTTGGCTATGCTTTCCCCGCGAAATGGTGTGGACCCAGCACCATTTCTCCACCTTGTTACATACAGTTCGGGCCACTTCTTAGTCTTTTTTTTTTTCATTTGTACGCACAGCTCGGGGATATGTGTTTCTCCCGTTCGGGAGCGGGCGGTTGAGTCTAGATGCGTTCGCATCTCCAACCAGCCTGATAATCACTTTTGCGGGTTTTCCTTGTTTTGTTATGAGAGTTGTTCAGATGTAGTTTGTAGATGGCGCAAGGATCACACTTTTGTGTCATGCCTCGGGTCATATCCATGCCGGCGTTTTAATGCCGTCTTGGATTTTGCGGCATGTTAAGTTGGGTTCACTGCCGAATAAGATCTGCTAATGAAGTCTAAAAACGCCCAAACCGGTATAGATCTCTCAGCGCGACTCCAACTTAATATTCCAATGCAAACTGAGCTGAACACTCTCCCTTTTTAGTTTCGTACTGGTACGCATTAAAGTTCAAAACATTTAATTTTAAATTACAATTTTTGGAACTTCTTGGCTTTGTTTTCCCCGCGAAATGGTGTGGACCCAGTACCATTTCTCCACCTTGTCAATATATAAGCCTACCTAATATAGAGCTGATATACAATTATAAAACGTAATACCTTGATATTTGTCATGTTCCTGTCGTGTTCTCTTGATGTAAGGGGACGAATTGTAGTGAATGACGAAGGGGCTAGACGTCCTCGAACGTATCCAGGCAAGTTAAACATTTTTTTCGGTCGGACTGTTCCAAACTCATGAAGATAAGCGACATTACTCTGCTCATCTTCCAGCTCAGTTGAAAAGGTTTTTTCGATAAGCTTCACGTAATTTTTCATGAATTTTTCTAAATTACTATCAACTATTAGTTTTTTAATCGATAAAGCTTTTTCAAAATTCTTTTCAAGAGCATTCCGTTGAATTTATCGTATTCCGAGAACTGTTCGCCTCGTGTCAGGCAACATTCGGCTTCAGGCACTGCACAACAAGCGCACCAAACTTATGTGAACTAGGTACCTACACGAGAGAAGTCCTCCACAACAATTGAGCACTGCTCTATTATCTTGATTAACCTAGTGAGCAAAACAAAAGAAAAGGTAATTGAGTAACAATACGAAAATAAAGGTGGCTGGGGGTTGATATACCTAGGAATGTGAAACAATTATACTTCTTTTTCTTGTTAAATTGAAGGTCAAAATCTTTTGAGCTCTCCAAGTTTGAAACTAATAAGCAGCAATCAAAAAGTCAGAAAAACCTTACGTAAAAGAAATATGTGAGGAAAAAGAGGAAAAATTGCGTAGCAGTATTAAATACCAGCCCGTGTGATAGCTCGCACAGCGAGCTGTCACGCCTGGCCAGGGAGTGCTCCTGGACCCCCGGTTCCTGCTCGTTTCGCGATGAACTTGCGACTCGCTCCGCGAACCGTCCCTAGTAGCAGAGCTAAATTCACAGTATATAAACGAAGTATAACCGTTAAATTATCTTAAGCCGTTTCAAAATGGCGGCCGGGTAAAGTTTAAATGGCCGAAAATTGGCATCTCGGCTATTTGCACATGGATTTGTTTGAAACTCGGTATCTAGGGGTATTTTGGCACGAGAAAAACGAATTTGACGTTAGATTTTTAAAAAAACCCTAATTTTTCAAAATGGCGGCCGGTTAAGGTCCAAAACGGCCGAAAAGTGACAAACTTGAGTTGTAACGTCAAATTTGTTTTTCTCGTGCCAAAAATACCCCCAGATATCAAGTTTCAGGCGAATCCATCGGCAAAAAATCAAGTTTGTCAATTTTCAGCCATTTTGGACCTTAACCGGCCGCCATTTTGAAAAATTAGGGTTTTTTTTAACAATCTGACGGCAAATTCGTTTTTCTCGTGCAAAAATACCCCCACATACCGAGTTTCAAACAACTCCATGTGCAAATAGCCGAGATGCCAATTTTCGGCCATTTAAACTTTAACCGGCCGCCATTTAGAAACGGCTTAAGATAATGACTTCGAGTTTGCGCGAAAAAAATTCTTTTTTTATGCTCTTTCGAACGAGGTATCACAAAGGGGGTCTTCCCATTTGAAAAAAAAAAGTTGGGGTCCGTAACCCCCCCAAGGGGGGGCCCCCCGAAAATATTAGGGGGGCCAAAAAGTAGCTCCCTTTGACCTAGGAACATCCTTCAAGTTTCAAATCTCTATCTCAATTAGGTAAAAAGTTAGATGGGGGGAGGGGACTTTTCTAACACCCTGTATAATTGAAGTATAACGGTTATATAAAACATTTTTACAAATAACTTTTATATAAACTATTTATAAAGGTTATTCGCGCAATTTATAAAATTATTTGATTAATAACGGTTATACGACAGCGGTTTCCTTTGAACATCCCGTTACTCAACCGTTATATATAACAGTTATATGAGTAGTATACTTTCGTTAACATTTTTTATATACCTAAATCTGCTACTAGGGGTCCCGCTGAGCTACTAACTTTTAAAATAATAAAAATAATGAGAAGATAACATCTTTGCCACTTTGATGGCCACAGCCGCCATCTTGGATCTAGGAATTTTGAAAATCCGACCAAAAATTCAAATTTCCCGTTGAAAAATACCCTCAGATACCGTTCCACAAAAATCGATCGAACAGGAGCCGACTTAGCATTATAGGCCACGGCCGCTATCTTGAATTTTGAAGTTTTGAAAATCGTCTGACCGAAAATTCGAGTTTCTCGTCAAAAAATACACCCTGTTACCGAGTTTTACGAAAATCGATCGAACAGGAGCCAAATTATCATTTTAGGCCACGGCCGCCATCTTGAATTTTGAAATTATAAAAATCTGACCGGAAATTCAAGTTTCCGCCGAAAAGTACCTACCCTGCGTCACCAATGTTCACAAAAATCCGTCAATAAATAACCCCTAAAACCTGAAATTTCGTCTATAATGCTGTGACGTCACGCGACAGGATTGAACTTGTTCGACGCAGTGCGCGCGTGAACAAACTCGTATCCCCAGTGCATTAGTATAGGGAGAAACAACTTTTCTTTTTTTTGGCTTCAGCGGCATTTTTTTCTAAATTTGATTTTTCAGGCACGTAGAGGTGTTGCTTAGTTTTATCTTGCCAGTTTGAAGGAAATCGCTTCGACAGTTTTTTTGTAAAGTGTTGATGAAATCTCGGTACAGTAGCTTTATATATTTGACATTGCGAGCTGACACGTCTAGCCGGGGATTGCCCCTGGACCCCACCTCTTCGCTTCGCGATGAACTTGCGGCTCGTCCCGCGAGCCGCCCCTGCCCCACATAGTTTATTAGTATCATGAAAAGACAACATCTTCGTCTTCAGCATCTTCTTTTTCACCAAGTTACACAGAAATCGATAGAAGAGGAGCCGAGATATTCTGGGCAACCCCTTTGTCAGACAATCCGCCTCCTGATCTCTACTTGGGGCATATATTCGATAACAATATTACCTTTCCTCGTTAGATCAGACACATAGCTATATTTTAGATCAATGTGCTTCACCCGTCGAATATTTTCAGGGGTCATGACTATTGAAATCCAACTCTGGTTATCCTCATACATATGCATATATGAGCTATGTCCGCATATACCTGAAAATCCTTTAAAAGTTTCCTAATACCACATTGAATCCTGAACTGAGCTGCACAGTGCAATTACCTCGGCTTCAGCACTCGATAGGTAATGCAACACAGTTTTGCTTCTTTGTAACCCAGGAGACTACATTGCCAAAAATCTTAATCAAAAATCCCGTTACTAATTTCTTGTCAGTGTCGCCACCCCAGTCAGAATCTACAAAACACTGTAAAATTTGGCTTGATTTCCTTTATACCTCAAACGCAAATCAGCAGTATTTTTTGAGTACCTTCAAATATGCTTGACATTGAATATCCTCTGTTGCATTCTGCTGAAAACGACTCAAAAAATTCACTGCGTAGCTCCCCTTTTGCAACTTTTGCATACGCAAAAATGTAGCTTACAATGACCTAGGAACATTCTAAAAATTTCATTTTTCAAAAAATGTAATTATTTTAGGTATTCCAATAAGTTTCAATAAATAGGGCTCCCTCAAATAGGAGCTAGGCAAAATACACAGCACTCAGTGGAATTGCAAAAATTTAACTATGTAATTGCTACTTATTGCAATCTGTGCTACTTGGGAAGAAGGACCTTGGAGGGCGCGAAGGATCCTTAGGGGATTGGGCTGCGTAGCGGTCAGAGGGAGTATACCCTCTGGCTGTAGATTAATGAGTATTCGCAGCAGGTTTCCTTCAAAATTTCATGCAATGTTGCGGCAAGCAGGTCTTTCTTCCTGCAAGCTTATGTATGGTAAATAGTTTTCGCCTGCTTACTTACTGAAGTTTTATAAATAACCTTAAATACCTCTGGGTTCCCAGAAATTTCGAATCAGTATGGTGTGGAAATGACTACCATTTATATCTTGATGAAGTGTTTCGTGCAATGGATACATCTTTTCACCCAACTTATATTATAAGAAAAAAAAGTAATGATTTACTCAGTGCCTGAGAATTACATTTAATAAATTGTGGATACCATTACGTTGGTTACACGACCACATTGATAGCACAGAATGTAAAAGTAGATTTGATGGTGCCATGACAACCAGATTATTTACTAAGATACCCTCCTGGGTTGAGGGGAAGAACCTGCTGTCCATCGGACGGAAAAACTAAACTAGGTACTTACAGTTGAATTTACTGCATTACGAAAAATTTACCATAGGTAATACCTACTCTTTGAAAGAGAATTCTAGTTGAGCCATAACTGGAAACCTCATTAAAGTAGGTAACAAGACGTCTCTTTGAAATAACAGACAAACCATTTGGATTTTACGTCATTTTACGACAAGTCACTCAGGCTCCATATTATTGATAGCGCGTTCATATTTTCTTTACGATCGGAAAGAAATATCTCAGAAAAAAACGGCGCCGTTTTATTGGAGGAGGCAGCGATGCGTTATACAGCCTGATAGTCCAATGGCGCTCAGCCACTCATTCAACGCAAATTTTATCCTAATTTACTTACTACAAAATTCTTCTCCAACAATGGAGCCGGAAAATGTTACTGAATTATTATTTCATGGATCTTTTTGGAGATAGATACGGGGAAAAGGACCATAATGTCTCGTTCCACACATCTTGAGAGTGTTTCTTGCAAGTTCTTAAGAAGTTTGATGTGTTGACTTCTTTTTTAATTCATTATAATCAGCGGGATCTGTCTCCCCATTACATATAGAGAACGCCTATTTTCGGGGGGCCCCCGGTCTGTTTGGAGATAGTTATAAAAGGTTAAATGTATAATTATGATATAATTTAATACGAACAGAATATGCGCTTGCTAAAGTAAATAAACAGATATGATTTAGAAAGTCTTATCCGGAAACAATTTTCCCCTAAACATTCATATTATTAACCTTTCAATTCCAATGTTCGTGATGAAATTTGGTATAAACATTAGCATTCATTTATGATTTTAAGACGAGTTGATGGCTCCGAACGCCCTTTTCCGGTCACTTTACACCTGTTCCTTCCCCTTCCACTCCCTACTACCTCCTCCCCTCCCTCTCCTCCCCCCTCTCATCATCTTATTGATTTTTCTTATTGATGACAATATTTCCTCTACCCGCAAGGAGAGCGAGAATAAAGTAAAAAGACAATTTGAACCAAACGGTGCGATATGCTCTGATTATGAGTAACTATATTCCTGTCAAAGGAGAGATTAGAAAAACGGCAAAAATTGAGCAAAGGTAGTGAGAAAAAAAATGAAAAAAAAATATAGGAAAATGAAAACAGAAAGGGACAGCAGAAAAACAAGAGACTAGGAGTCAGGAAGAGAAAGAATTTGACGGAATAGGTAATTAAGCAGGTAATTTATCAAAAGGAAGAGATATATTTTTAAAGATACCACTCGGAAAAATTTTGCGCTTGCTTCAATTGGAGTTGGAGCTGATATTTACGAGTACCTATAAATACTTGGACGAGGATTTTACCTGGATTAATTCAGGTTCCTCCTCGTAAGTCATTTGCTCGAATTTAAGCAGAA